GAAGGAAGGAAGGAAGGAAGGAAGGAAGGAAGGAAGGAAGGAAGGAAAAAGGGAGAGAGGGAAGGAGGGGGAGAGAGAGAGAGAGAGAGAGAACAGAAAGGCTATTAATGTGTTTACATTGAAATATTAGGCTGAGCGGTGGTGGCACATGCCTTTAATCCCAGCACTTGGGAGGCAGAGACAGGCGGATTTCTGAGTTTGAGGCCAGCCTGGTCTACAGTTCCAGGACAGCCAGGACTATACAGAGAAACCCTGTCTCAAAAAACAAAACAAAAAAAAAGAAATATTAGGAATAGTGATCTTTACTTTTAATCTCAGCACTCAGGAGACAAAGACAGGCAGATCTCTGTGAGATCAAGGGCATCCTCTTATGTACAGCAAGTTCCAGGCTACATAATGAGTCCCTGTCTCAAAAATAGCTGATTAAATAAATAAACAAACTGTATTTTGTCCTTTGCTACATATATCTGTATTCATTAATATTCTCACCACAAACTTGGGTCAGTCATCTCTGCGTTCATCCATTCCTCCTTTAATCTATGTATCCTTTTCCCTTCCACCGTCCACACATGTTTCCCGTCTACCCATCCAATCATGTATTTACTCTGTCATAAAGCTGCTTTCCACCCCTTCTTTCTACTCATCCATATGTACATTCCTACAATCAACAGCCAACCATTTACTCTATGTATTTCTTACCCCGTGTATAAAACTAACATATGGAAAGAGCTCCAGCACTCAGCATTAGGCCTCTTCCACTTCTCTAAGTCTTTGTGTTTTAGAGCTTGTGTCTGTAAGACTTCACGCTGCTGGAGATGCCACCTGCTTTGTTTTCAGGATTTAGAGAACTCAAGCTGAAACTTGGTTGGAAGCTTCCTCCTTGTTTGGTAGTCCTTACAGCTTAATGGTGCTATGGGAGCTTGTGGGGGAAGCTGACATCAGTAGTCTTATTTAGGTGTGGGCTCTGCATGCTAAACCACCAACTGGCCAGGCAAGATAAATCCAGTAGTGTAGTCATGGCAAGTCTGTTACGAAGGTAACCAACCATTGACTTTTTTTTTCAATTAAAATACTATATCATTTCCCCTTCTGTTTCCTCCCTCCAACTCTTCCATCATTCTCCTCCTTGATCTCTCTCAAATTCATAGCTCTATTTTTTAATTGCTGTATAAATAATATTCATGTACATGCATATATATATATATATATATATATATATATATATATATATATTTCTAAATAAATCTGCTTAGTTTATATTTGTATGTGTATGATTTCAAGGCTGACCACTTGGTATTAGGTAACCAGCTGGGGAGGCTCTTCCCTGGAGAAGATGACTTCTCCCACTTTCAGCATTCCTCAGATCCCTGTAGGTTTTGTTTAGAATTGAGGCCTCATGAGATTTTCTCTTCTGTGTTAGCATGTCTGTTGTTGTCCTTGTTCAGGTCTTGTTTAGGCAGCCCTGTTGATGAGACTCTGTGGTATAGCTTCTCTGTCATTTCTTCATGACAGTCTCAGAGTAAACTTCCTGTCCCTCTGGATCTTACACTCTCTCTCCACCCCTTATTCCTCTATGATCCTGGTGCCTCAGGTGCAGGAGTTGCGTTACAGATGGATGGCTGGGGCTGGGCACTCTGCAGTCACTTGTTCTCTGCATTTTGATCTGTTCTTGGTTCTTACAATTGTCTCTGTCTATAGCAAAGAGATGGTTCTTTGATGAGAGGTGAGACCTAGACTCCAGGTCTTGGGAACCACACTTAGCATTACAATAGACAGTAAAAAGACAAAGCCTCAACATCCCTGACTAGAATATCCCTTGCTTTTCTCGTTTTTTTTTTTCCTCGTTAGATCACTTCTACCCTGCTATTCCCCTTTTTATTGATCTCTCACACCCCAACCCTGGCAGGAGTTCCTGTTTACTTTCCTTGCTTCTGCAGTTACCCCAGGTATGTAGTTACATCTGAGGATTCAGAGCAGATGAAACAGAGCATTCTGTCTTTCTGGGTCTGAGTTACCTCACTTAGTATAAACTTTTCTAGTTCCATCCATAGATTTGTCCACCGATTTCATAATTTCATTGTTCTCTATAGCTGAAGAGTATTCCATAGTTCATGTGTGCCAGATTTTCACATCCATTTGTCAGTTGAAGGACATCTACGTTGTGACCAAGTCAATCAACAGGGTCTCAAGGGAGGGAGTGAGGCTGAAAGAAAGAAAGAAAAAACAATTAGGCAACATGATAGCATGACTCCAGCAAGCACTGAAGCAAGTTCATTTTTTCCCCAAGCTGATTTCATACCATTCTAAGTACATGCAAAGAATGAGGTCAGTTCTTGGTCAAGGACAACAAGGCATAAACAAAAGTCCTGTGATCACTGTGTTCAGGGACTTACCAACATGATCAAGATACAAGACACACATTTTTCAGCTGTATTTATCTTGAGCCTACTTTCTTGTCTTAGCCCAGTGTCAAATATTCTTGCTGATATCCTTGAAGCGGCACCAAGAGCTCTCCACAAGATTGTTTCCATTTCTTAGTTATCGTGAATGATGAACCATTTTAATGACTGGCCTGTTCCAAAGGAGGAACTGTTCCCAAGGAGACTACTCACATGGGTACAGGAAATCTGTCAAAAACCCAAGTCTCGGGAGGTCATGGGCCCTAGTGGGAAAGTTACTACTGTTGTTTTGATAACTAGATCCAATGTGCTCAACAAACTACCTTCTAAATGTTTTTGTTTTGTATTAGGCTCACAGATCAGAGCTGCCATCAGGCTAAAAAGAGAAGCTTCTCTTTGCAATGAGTAGAGGTTATTGCAGGGACTCATAGCTAAGGGTGGTGTTCTCAGAATAACAGACCATAGAAAAGTGAACCTTAAATGGAACATCAACGTTACCTCCTCCAAGCCTCAGGGAGCATCGTGGATGAGGGGACAGAAAAAACGTAAGAGCTAGAGGAAGGGTTGGGTTGCTGTGGAAGCTCTTCTGGGGACAAGGTAGACCCTGCGTTCTTGAGCTCAGCAGCTGTGATTATCAACACAAGATGGATTGTCCCAAGATCGAGCTTGTCACCATTCTTTTCTTTTTCCTTTATTTGTTATTACTGGGGAGGGCACACATCGGGAGGTCAGGGAACCTCTTTAATGGTTGCCTCCTTTACTTTTATGTGGGGTCCAGGGATCAAACTCTGGTCACCAGGCTTGCACAGCATCTCAGAGGCCCTGGGCCTGTCAATATCCTGTCATGGAGTAGAGCTAGGGGGATCACAAGGCCTGCCCCCTCTGTTATGCTTTAAAGGCAGTTAACAGCTGCTGAGGTAGCGAGAGACATTTTCTTCAGTGCTATAACCACAGTTAAGTGGCCAGGCTCTTGTCAATAACCTATGTTTTGGTTCTTATAAGGAACCCTGATTTAACACAGTGACACACACAGAGGAATGAAAGGGCATGGCAATAGAAGGTGGACTGGGCCCACTGCAGACTGAAAAGGCCATTGAGAGTGGGACTGTACAGTGTGACAGCCAGCCCAGGTCAGTGGCCCCTGACCTAATGGCACTGCGGGGGTTTTCCCTGCCTAGAAGTGAACTGCTCTATCCCAGTCATTTGAGTGCTCAGACATGAGAAATAATTTACACAGGTCCTGTGATGACTAAAGAAACTTAATATAGAGCCGCTGTCCCTTAAGGACTGTTGACCTTTTTGTTCCAGAAATCCTGGGAGATCCTAGTAGCCTGCAGGTGAGATAAGAATAGAAAAGACAATGGGAGAAGAGGTGCTGACAGCCGCCTTTGCTTCTGTAAAATCTGCTTACCGCTACGGGAAAGCAGACCAAATGGTCTTTCTGTTATTGTACAGAGGGTAGGAAAACACACTGAAGGAAGTAAAACAATTTTCTTGCCCAGTTGTGAGTTACATGGATATCTGTAATGCATACCTTTCTGCTGTCTGCCCTCAATTCATCTCTTAACTTCCACACTAACAACATGCTGTATTGGTTCTAAGTCCTTCTGCTAGCAGTAAGAATAAATTCATTTAATTTAAATTTGAATTGAGTCTAAATCTCTGATTTCTCCCGGTGGATTTGAATGCCACGACAGGGTCAAGAAAGAATTGTGCGGATAAATATAATCAAAATCCAGTGCATGCAAGTGTGAAAATTTCATAATGAAATCTATTATTATATGTAATTAATACACACTAATAAAAAAACTAAAAAGAGAGGGCACTCAAAAGCCCTCCTGAGGCTGCTTAGAATTCTGGGCCTAGATTAGGAAGGTAGACAAGTCTCAGTTTCCTTCATCCACTGCCACAGTTTCACAGTGCATGTGTGTGTATGTGTGTGTGTGTGTGCACATGTGTGTGATACATGTGGAAACCTGGAAACCAAAGATCAATGTTGGGTACCTTGGATGTTGTCTTCAGGTACCATCTACTTTTTTTTTTTTTTCTGTCAAGGACCTTCCCTGGAACCTGGAACATGATCACTCAATTAGGCTGATTGGATAGCAATCACTAAGGATATGGCTGCTTCTTCCTCATCAGTAATGGGATTATAACTTGAGCCATGAGGCCCAGATTTTATACAGGTGCTGGGGGAGTTGAACTCAGTTGAACTCCTTACGCGTGCACTTTCTTAACTAAGCCTAGAGCTCTGTGCTCAGTTATCCAGGAATTCAAAGCTCCACTCCCAGATCTGTTGTGGTCTTAGCCAAGTCACTCACCGGCTCAATCTGCCTCATCTGTATGAAGATAAAGAGTCCAGACTCGAATGTGGTGCTTGGAAGCAGTGACTCTAAACCTCTCCTGTGCTAACCTCTTATGCTTTCTCCAGCCTTCTGTCACCAGAGGAAGGCCCTTGACTGTGTGTCTCACTTCCTCATTGCTACATAATCATTGCTACATATTCGTTGCTACAGACCTAGAGGCTGGGAGCAACATACATACATTCCCAAACAGCCCGTGGTTCAGAGATCACATGGTCTTGATGATGCTCCCTGCTTGAGGTCTCTACGGTCAAGATGAAAATGCTAGGGAGAGTTCTCCTTTCTCAAGGACCTGGAGGCAAATTAGCTCCTGAACTCCCTTAGGTTGTTGACAGAGCTCAGTGCTGTTATAGGACTCTGGTCCCTTAGCTGGAGTCAAGCAAGGTCACTTCCAGCCCAAAGAGTCCAACTGTTTTCCTTGGCTTGTGCTCTCTGATTCTTGGGATTCTAAGTTCCCTGTCTCATTTCCTGCGGTCACCCCTTTCTACGTTTGTAGTTGTTGTTTGTTTTTGTCCTTTTCGATAAGGTCCATTGTAGCCTCACCTGGCCTCTTAAACTCTCACTGTAACTGAGTCTGACCTTGTCCTTTTGATCCCCCTGCCTCTAGCTCTAGAGTGCTGAGATTCCAAGTATATACTACTGTGCTACATTTCGTATGGTGCTAGGGATGTTTTTGTTTTGTTTTGTTTTTGTTTTTCAAGACAGGGTTTCTCTGTGTAGCCCTGGCCTTACTTGGAACTTGATCTGTAGATCAGGCTGGCCTCAAACTCAAGCACTCTGCCTCCCAAGGAGTGCTGAGATTAAAGGCAGGCATCACCACCCCACCCACCCCACCCCACCCCCTGCTAGTGCTAGAGACTAAACCCAGGGTTTCCTGCATGCTAAGCAAATACACTACCAACTGACTTACAGGCCCAGCCTTTCCTCTCTGCCCAATTTTTCCTCCTCTTCTGATTTCCTCTGACCTCATTTTCCACCTCACCTCTGTTCCTCCTATTGTAACAGGATCTCAGACCTTTGCAGCCCCAGGTCTTAGCAAAACTGACTCCAATAATTGAAATACCACTCAGGCCATAAAACTTAGCGAGGAGATAGCACCACCTGCCAAATGAAAACAGACTTAATCAATCAAAGTCCATAGTTCTGGCAAAGTCTCTAAATAGACTAACCTTGCTTTTGGCTTCTGTAGTTCTGCTTCTGGCTAACTATGCTTGTTAATTGAAGTATGTCAACCAGAATATGGGTTTTGTACTTAAAAGCTCACCCTGAGATAATCGCTGGCCAGCTAATAAAGACTTTCTATTGGCTTAATGTAGAGCAGTCTTCTTTAGTGGATACTCTATAACATTCTTCCTTTGAGGGTCCTGGGATTGATTATAAGACTCCCAAACTGATCATATTTGAAAGTCAATTAACTTGGGATTAATCTCAGATGTAAAGTCCCTCCCCAGCTGTACTCAGATTTTGTTTGACCAGATAACCTGAGACCAGGGACCTGCAGAGTCTACCCAGAGCCTGTCTCCACCAAGCTCTGCCACCAGCACCAGCCTGCAATATCTTCACAGCAGATGCAGAGAAGCCAAGATCCATGGAGAAGAAACCTCACTGGTGCAGAGGCAAAAAAATCCAGCTGACTTCAGTAGGACAGACAAATTCACCATCAAAGCAGGTACCATGAAACACAACTTGTGGGAGTGGCCAACCAATGACTGGAGACCCATGCCAGGAGAGGGAGCCCACTCCTGACACTGCATGGAGAACCAGGAACCTGAGGCTGGATAGCCCAGAGACTCATGACAGAACCAAACACAATTGGCAAAAAAGAAAAAGGAAAAAAAAAAAGTCAATGAAATGATTCTTAATAATACTAAGTTATACTCGTAGACCCAAGCCTAGCATAATTGCCATCAGAGAGGTTTCATCCGGCAACTGTTGGGAGCAGATGCAGACCAACAGCTAAACACTCAGGAAATCCTGCAGAAGAGGGAAAGGAAGGATTGTAGGAGCCAGAGAGATCAAGGACACTACAGGGAAAATCACAGAACCCACTAACCAGGACTCATAGGACACAAAGACTGAACTGACACCAGGGAGCCTGCATGGATCTGTCCTAGGTTCTCTAAATATATGTTATAGTCTATAGCTTGGTCTTCTTATAGAACTCCTAGAAGAGGGAGTAGGGAGCTGTCCTTGACTGTTTTGAAAGCTTTTAAAACCCTTCTCCTCCTACTGGTTTGCCTCAACTGGTTTTAATGAGGGGATGTACCTAGTCTTATTGCTACTTGACATGCCATGGTTGGTTGATATCCCTGGGAGGCCTGTCTTTTTCTGAAGGGAAATGGAGGAAGAGTGGATCTAAGGGAGATGAAGAGGGGTGGTTGGGGGGGCTAGAAGAAGAGGAGGGAGGGGATGTAATATCTGAAAAAGGAATAAAAAGTAAAATAAAATAAAAATCAGATGCCACAAGCTCGGGACACAGAGTGCATCTGGACTTTAGAGAAGCCCACAAGTGGTCATGCTCAGGGCCAGCCTACAACATTTTTCTTGTGACTATATTTAACCCTGTTGGGAGACAAGAACACTTAACTCATTTTGCAAATGAGGAAACTGAAGCCCTCTGAGAGCAAACCATTTGTTCAGGTGACAGATGGAATTGTGGTAAGGCTAGAAGGACACATTGGTACTCAAGAAACCAGGTGGGTACCCTCTACTTCTTACTAACTCAAGTGCCTCTGCCCTCTGGATGATCTACAGTTGTTAAGCCATGGAACCAGGCCTGGGATAATTCAATATTCAAAGTCCGGAAGGCCAGAGTGACAGAAGAGTGAGGCAATCTCCACATCCCGAAGCGGAGGACATCTGCAACAGAAGACATCTTCATCAGACCAGGAACTTACGCTCCAAATAGCAACTGTGCAGGCTCACTTCAGAGACATTGTCCTCAAAGCACAGATCTCTTCCAGAAGAGCATCTGCTTCATCAGAAGTACAAGTGCAGGAGCTGGAGGGATGGCTCAGTGTACTGGTAAGATACTTGTCGAACAAGTGCGAAGACCAGATTTCAGATCCCCAGAACCCACTGAAACACGAACAGGTTTGGTAGCCTCCATTTAATCACAACATTCAAGAGGCAGAGACAGGAGCACAACCATAGCGATCTGACTGGCTGGAATAGCTAGAATCTGCTCAGTAGATAAAGCAAACGATCAGGAGAGACACCTAGAGTCAATTTTGGTCCTCATTGTGGATGTGCACGCTTACTTGCATGAAACACCTGCAGATACACATGACCACACTGGAAAGTACGTGTATGCGTGTGTTTGGCAAAAAAAAAAGAAAGAAAGAAAGAAAGAAAGAAAGAAAGAAAGAAAGAAAGAAAGAAAGAAAAAAGTATAAATAAGTAAAATGCAAATGCTCTTCAACTTCCATAGTTGAAAACACTATAAATCAAAAGTATGTTTTACTCTATATCCAACTTACCAAACATCACAGCTTTGACCAGAATACCAAAAATGTGTTCAAAAGCTAACCTCCGCCAACAGTTGGGCAAGACCATTTGACAAATAAAGCCCATTACATAATAAAGACCGAAGACCAAAACAGCTCAAGCCATTGGCCTCATACCGTTTGCTTCAGAATGTCAGCTGCTTCCCCTCAGTATCTCTCTGCTGACTGGAGCTGCAAGTCACCTGAAGCTGCCGGCCTAGAAAGAGCTCAAAATTCAAAACTGAAAACACATCAAGTCAGAAATCCTAAAATGGGAGCCCTTTGCAGGCTATCTGTCCTTGGAGCTATATTCCAGGCCTGTCAGAACCGATCAGTGTAGGTTCAGTGTCCACGTGTCCAGAGCATCTGAAAGACATGCCTTTGTGTGGTGGCTCTTGGTTCAGTTTGTCTATTTGGTTATTTATGGGGTGTGTGTGTGTGTGTGTGTGTGTGTGTAGGAGTACTAAGCATTGAACTTGGAGCCTGTGCTCGTTGGGCCATGGTCACGGAGTTACATCCTTAGTCCCAAGGCTTCTTCAGTAGAGTTCTGAGAAATCCACTAACCAGTGGTTCTCAACCTTCCTAATGCTGGGACCATCTAACACAGTTCTTCATGTTATGGTGACCCCCAACCATTAAATTATTTTTGTTGCTATGTCGTAACTGTAAAATATGCTACTGTTATAAATTATGATATAAGTATCTGTGTTTTTAGACGGTCTTAGGTGTCCCCTTTAAAAGGATCGTTTGATTCCCAGGTAGAGAACCACCGTACTAGACTTAATTTTCAAAGACTTCTGGAATCTGTTCCCCCTGGCACCAGAAAGGCAGAATCTGACCAAAAAATATCAGGACAGGAAGGTCATTCTGCCTTCATCAAAGCCTCATGGGCTGCCAGGGGATACTTGTAAAGGAGGCTGAATCAGGAGGGTTACAAGTTCAAGGACAGCCAGAGCTATATGGGAGACTATAAGATGAAAGAAAGAGGGAAAGAAAGAAAGAAAGAAAGAAAGAAAGAAAGAAAGAAAGAAGAGAGGGAGGGAGGGAGGGAAGGAGGGAGGGAGAGGAAGAGAGGGAGAGGGAGAGGGAGAGGGAGAGGGAGAGGGAGAGAGAGAGAGAGAGAGAGAGAGAGAGAGAGAAATGCTATAGAAGACTCAGACTTCTTATGGTGAAAAACTACCCATCTAGTCCTAAGGCCTCAGTTTCCCCATTCACAAAGTAGAAAGTTAAAAACGTGCCATTTGGCAAAGCAATGATACAAGTGGAAATAGCCTGGCCTCCATGCATGCCAGGTATGAGTGCCAGGCCTAGTGTTAGATTGTCTGAATTCCCCATTCTCCTTTAGAGGAATCCTAACAAGAAGGGCTCCTTAGTTCACAAAGTGCTTTGTTTATTTCATATGCGGACCTTAAATGTATCATTTCTTCCTTCAGACTTGGAAAATAAAGAAAATGTCCAAGTAGATACAGTGTGACTTCCTTGGAAGCAACCCACACATGCCTATTGGTGGTGAGCAGTCAGCTGTGGGGAAAGCCAAGGAGCTATGGTTCAAGAAACTTCCATGCAGATGGAATTACCAGAGATGGGGACAGATAGGAAACTGGGGATTAGGCTGTGCTTCCTCCACTTGGCAAGACTAGTCTTCAGAGTCAGGCCCTGAGAGCCCTTCTTCCAAGAGCAGGAGTGTAATGGCCGCAGGGGGAGGGAGAGGAACCAGCATCACCTAGGCGGAGGCCAGCGTCGCCCCACCTCCTTCCCACAGGCTGGGCTCAGAGGGCCCTGGGGGTACCGGGCAGTGAGCGCCGAGATGTGGGCTGCGTTGGCGCTGCTGTGCGCTGGGGCATGGCTGTTGAGTGCCGGGGCCACCGCGGAGCTGACCGTGAACGCCATAGGTAAGAGGGAGAAAGTGGGACGCAGGGCTCCAGGGGCACCGGGGGAGGATCGGGGAACTTCGGGCTAGTCTTACGTGATCCGAGGAACAGGCTGGCACATTCCTAGAGTCCTTCTGGCTCAGGTCTAGACACAGAAGCCCTCAGCCCCTTCTGCCCGACAGCTGGGACAGCTGAGGACACAGAACTTTCCTGCCCCACCATGGGAACGGGACATGCCAGCCTGTACTTTCCGAGCATTTGGCCTCCCCGGGGATCGCCTTGCCTGGGTTATTAGTCCGACTGGGCCATGCTGGGGTGACTCCCTGCCCTGAGGAACACACTGCACCCACAGCAGTTTTAACCCTAGTATCTGTGCCGTGTCTGGAAAAGCTGGCTCCGAAACGCCGCCTCAACTTTTGGCGAAGTGCAACCGAAGACGAGCTAGTAAATATTTTACTTGTGTACAACGTTGGTCTCTGTAGTAACTCCTAAAGGCTCGCTTGTGGGACGAACGCAGCTACGGGTAGCTCGTTCTAATAGATGTCTATTTATGGCCAGTGAAGACAGAAGTTAAATGATTTTCAGGCGCAGCTGTTCTCCTACTCCCCACAACCTCACCACCACCACCCGGTGCGCGCGCCAGCCACTTTTAAGTGTAAAGAGCCCTTCAATCAAAGCCCCAGGCTCGAGAGTAGATGGTAGTCTGTGGTTTCCTAA